CCCCAAAACCCCAAAACCCCAAAACCCCTAATGGTTTAGATATAGGCAAAATTTAAGAAATTAAATTCAGAAATTTCAATCTTATTCAACTGCATTACTTTGAGATTTATCATACTTATTAATACTTTAATTCTTAGGTATTCCGCATTAATTTCAATTTCTTCTTCCACGACCTCTTGCCCCTCCTCTGGCAGTTCTAGTTGTTGTAGTTCCAATATTGCTAATCAAGCTTGAATCTGCTCCAAGCATTTGTCTATCATTATTCACTCTTCCACCTCGACCCCCTCTATTATTAGAGTTTTACTATCTAAGGAAATTATTTTGGTTTCTTTTCTGTCTCGAGTCAAGAGATGAATCTTATGAGTCACTGTCTGAGTCAACAAAGTCTTTGATTTCGAACTTGGATTTTTATTGTTTATTGAGTCCGAGATAACTGTCGTAATCCTCCTCACTGCTTTCAGATTTCTAAGTAGTGCTTCTTCGATTTAAGCGTCTTGTATTGGTCGTCTAGGATCTTGCTTAATTATTTGCTACAGCTGTTGGAGCAGTATTGACATTCCTTCCGTTTCTTTATAAAATTAGAGCTAATGATATTTACCGGTTGATGTTGAGACGATTAGATACATCTTGAGAATGATTACTTACTGTTGAATCTATTCTTCTTCTTTAACCAGCTCGATGTCTAGGCTATTCCTACTTTTCCTCTTCTAAACTTTCTAAATGAACTCGTGGTCTCTGCACTTACATATTAGGCTACAATCTATCTTCTTTAATTTTGATTTGAATCTCAACATTCCAAGCTTTTCTTCCAGATAACTCCTCCACTCCAAGTGTCTAACTTATTTTATCAGTAAACTCTTTTGCGAAACCTAAATTATAATTTAAAATCAATGATTCGCTTACTCATTAGTTGATTTTCATTTTGAACATGTCCTTTCTTAATCACTGTATGATGCTCAATACCTCTGGGAGAATCAGATGGTATTGTTGTATAAACCGGCTGTGGAATAATAAATTCTTCTTACTATTAGTTTCCTTGATTGATAGTCCCATTGGTTTTAGTCTAATTCTAGTCCTCATCTAATACAGGCTATCTTCTTGTTCTTCTCATTTCATTATTATACTGATTGATAATCTGCTCTTCCTAATCTTCATCTTCCTCTATTACCGAATTATTTATGACTCTTCTTTGATTATTGCGATTGTTTGATGTTATTTCTTATATGGTGGATTAATACCCTCTTCTTGATTATCTACTTATACCAGCTGGTTAATTGCTTCTATTATTGTTTGCATTTTAATTTCTTTATTCATGGTTCTAGCGATTATTTCCTCTAAGATTTCTTAAATTACTCTAATTATTTGAAGCTGGTTGAGTTCTCGGTTAATTGCGGATGCTTGTAGTGAATTAAAAAGATGATCCAGGAATTCTTAATCCCATAAGACTGACTTAGCTATAGGACTCTAAATCAGAACGCTGACCGAATCTTTCAAGTTAATGCATTCTGCTCATAGCTTATCTTAGTCTAAATGAATAGGTTAATATTCAGTAAAATTAATTTTATAGGCATAGCATCTCAATAATATTTTGATGCAAAGTTTCAACTTACTAGCTCAAGCCATTTCTCCAATCAGGGATAATCATAGAATGGGAATCCTCTGAAGAAGATTAATCCCAGTCTTCATCTTCTGAACTCTCTCTTTCACCAGTACAATAGTCACAAATCCAATCATCCTCTGGAACAACATCTCCAAAGCCTAGGCATTAAGTGTGAGCTACTCTATAGTCACACAGATCACAAATAATCATTGACTCGATATTGTCTCCTCGCTGGCATACATAGCAGACATCATCAGAATCTGTGTCTATCATTAACTCCTCATCATCTATTCTTTATCTTTTATTCTCTATGTTCATCTACTGTGTCTCACCCTCTGAATTTCTGTAAATGATTTTGTTAAATTTAGACTTGCAGAGAGGACAAGTATTCTCAGCTTTAGTCGCCCATTCCTTGATACACACAAAGCAGAACAAATGAATGCAACTTTCAAGTGAGGCTTAATCATTATCTTCCATTTCGCATTAGCAGATGGTACATATCTTATCTTATTTGGAGGGATTCAAGTTTGCAATTGACTGTCTGTTATTCTCAATCTTATCTTGCATTCTTTGAAGTCTCCTTTTCTTCAGTGAATCTCTTGGCTATTACTAATCCCCGATTGCATTGTTTAGGCTGTGATGATTATTTAACAATTGCTAATCTTCACTTAGGGATTCCTATTCTATATTAATTGCTGCTACTTCCTGCTATTAAATTATGGTTTCATTCTAAGCAGGCTGCAATTCGCTCTGATGATTGCATAGCCTAGGATCATGACCTAATAAACTTTATTATAATACAAATTTACCATTTTAATGTATGTGATTATTTACCGCACTTTTCTTAAGGTCTATGATAATTGGTCCATCAATTTCCTCTTTAGTTTCTTCCTCATTCAGCTTGCGTCTTTGCCTTCTGGGCTTTTCATCAGTATTTTCATTCTTAGGATTCGAGTTATCTAGTGAGTCAAATCGACGCTTCTTGCTCCTTCTAGGCAAATTTTCTGTAGTGTTCTAAAATTATGTATGATGAAAAGGTAGGATAATAGGTACATTTTGACTTGATTATAGATTATTATCATCACTTTCCCCTAGGCATCTTTGTAATTCAGACTGAGATACCCAAGAACTTATGTCGCTTGAACTCTATTCTTATGACAGTACCATATTGTTGATCTGACTACCAATACTATCGGAAAGATAGTCCATATTTTTGTTGGCTTATTAATTATTAATACTGATTCTCTATTACTTCTACTGATCAGTACCTTGATCTTATTATCTCTGTGGTCTAATTTTTTCGATATTTGTTGACTACTTATTCGAATTTTCCCTAGCACTCCCTTTATTTTTCTATTTTCTTTCGATTGAGTTTTGCTATTAGTTTATGCATTGACCTTGATTTAAGTCAGCCAAGTGGTTGACAGGTTGAAGAGGTCTTGGATTTCTTGAAATTGAATGAGTTGTGATCAATGCTTGATTTTTGCTCTTATTTTGCTAAAGTGACATTAATTTAATGATTTAAAAATTTAAATTAGTAACAAAAAAGATTTTTATTCCATCTTTTATAATTTCCAATTTTCTTCTCTATTTTAACGAAATGGGGTTTTGGGGTTTTGGGGTTTTGGGG